GAGCATACGCGCAGGACAATAGATTTTCGATGTATCTGATCTTACCTGACGGTCGGATTCCTCTTCGGTGGTGGTGCTTTTCTTCTTGTATTGGCTTTTGCATGTAATTTAGCTTCAGTTTGCGTCCAGATTCCTCTTCGGTAGTTCCATATGTTGTTCTGCTATAGTATATGCGCCGACTGCGTTTTGGATGTAATTACTTTTTTTTTTTTTTTTTTTTTTTCGACCTCAGTCTACGGTGCCCATAGCATAGACTTTGCATGTATCTGACCTCCGGCTACGGTCAGATTCGTCGTAGCTGGTGCGTTTCTTGTGGTAGTTTTCTGTCATTGGGTTTTGCATGTATCTGACCACATTTCTGCCCTCAGTCTCACGTCGCATTCCTCTCAGGCGATGCACATCGCGCGTTTTATTACTTCCTGACTGGATTTTGCATGCACCTAACTTCACTCTACGGTCAGATTCCTCTTTCCAGTGTTGCGAATCTTGTATTAGAATTTCCACCTGATTGGGTGTTCTTGGTGCTTCAGGCAGTTGATGGAAAGGAGCCATCAGTTTAATATCTGATACGTGGTCCATCGGCCCACATTAAAAAAAAAAAAAAAAAAAAGAATGGGGCCGCGACTGGACCGGCGGGGGGCAAAAGGTATAGAACGCTGGACCTTATCGATTAATTACTTTTTTTTAATGATTCCGCTGATATTTACGGGATAACGAAACGAAGGGTCCATAACGAAGTTAAAACAGCGGAATCATAAAAAAAAATAAAAAAAAATAAAAAAAAAAATGAACAGCGGAATCATACTAATTAGCCTGTCTCTGTCGCGGGTTAGCATCCCGCTCACGCCAGTTGCTTATCTACTTTGCTATGGATAAGGTATCATTTGTGTCTTATTTGTCGTATGGATAAGGTATCATTTGTCGTATTCGTCTGATTTGTCTTATGGATAGGGTATCATCTGTCTTATGCATAAGGTACCATTAATAATCATTAATCATATGGATAAGGTAATAATCATTGGATCGCGGAATCTGAGTGTTCAGTGAATGATCGCAGACGGTTCGGTTGTCGTCGGGTTCGAAGGATTTTCCTATCATCGAGAAAGGCACGTGGCCAGCCAGGTGTGCGTGAGTATCGCCGTCTTCTCAATCAATCAATCAATCAATCAATCAATCAATCAATAAACTAATTAATCAATCAATCAAGCACGTGGCCGGCCAGGTGTGCTTGAGTGTCGCCGTCTTCTCAATCAATCAAATCAATCAATCAATCGATCAACTAATTAATCAATCAATCAATCAATCAATCAACTAATTAATCAATCAATCAATCAATCAATCAACTAATTAATCAATCAATCAAGCACGTGGCCGGCCAGGTGTGCGTGAGTGTCGCCGTCTTCTCAATCGATCAACTAATTAATCAATCAAATCAATCAACTAATTAATCAATCAAATCAATCAATAAATCAATCAATCAATCAATCAACTAATTAATAAAGCAATCAATCGATGAATCAATGAATCAATCGGGCTAGTTATCAGTTAAGCTGTGTGTCGTTGTCTGACACCTATCGTTCGTAAGTAAGACGCATCTAGACGCATGCGCGTCAATTATACAGAGTGAGTGTAAGATTGTTCCCCTGCGGATAACGCGCGCCTTTTTCATTCATCTGTCGTCAATAGAATCTAGAGAAGAGGATGAGAGGAGCAGTAGGAGGAGGAGGGGGAGGAGGAGGAGGAGGAGGAGGTGGTGGTTTTGCGAGCCGAGATGGCAGTCGAAAACGACCGGCAGGCGGTTCAGCTGTCAGTGGGAATGTTTCCACAGAGGTTAAGCTTTCGATACAGCGAGGGGGGGGGGGACGTGGAGAAGGAGGAGGAGGAGGAGGAGGAGGAAGAGGATCTGTCCGTCGGGACCATGGTGGGGACTATGGTTTGCCTATGCCTATGGTGGATGCAAAACGGCAGCGGTCCGATAACGCGGCGACCGGTCGTTCGCGCTCTCCTTCCAGCCATCAGCACCACCAGTACCAGCATCATCATCATCATCATCATCAACCACCACCAGCATCACAACCAATCAAGCGCGGAGGCCAATCGAGCGCAGACGTCGTCGGTGATGGATCGGAGTCTTACGATCATAATCAAAATCATAATCGACGGATGGCAGCCGCCGCCCCGCGCAGCCCTCGATACGTTAATCGAACAGGCCACACGGCAAGTGGCCATGGGCGCATGCGCAACAGCCACATGGCGCCACCAGCAGATCCAGACCCCACTCAGGCGGAGTCCTCAGAAACGGAATCAGACAGCAAAGGGAAGATGGTCGGAGGAGGTGATCTTGGTCGAGTAGAGGACTATAGAAGGAGGGTGGAAGGTTCAGCAGCAGGAGGAGGAGCGGGTGGGAGAAAAGCGGGGGGGGGTAGAGGAGGTGGTCGGCTTCCCTCTCGCTCCCCGGGTCGGTCCTCACCGTCGATGAATGTGGGAGGAGGAGGTGGTGGTAAGGGGTTGATGATGGGGGAATTAGGTTGGCGAGGAGGGCGTGAGCGGTATGATGGGGGAGGGGGAGGGGGAGGGATGAGAATGAGAGGCGCCTTGAGAGAGAGAGCGGGCGATGCTGCGATCGCGGCCGCGGCTGTGGCGCCGAGAGCGGGCGCGGGGAGACGCGCGGGGGTGGGCCCGGGGGCGGGGCCGGGGGATCGAGACTACAGCGGTACGGAGACGGAGGCAAGAACGGAAGGAGAGGAGGATGAAGAGCAGGAGGTAGGGGAGGGGGAGGAGGTAGGAGGGCGGGAAGAAGAAGAGGAAAGGCAGGAGGAGGAAGAAGAAGAGGAGGAGGAGGAGGAGGAGGAGGAGGAGGAGGAGGGTTTACACGTTGGACATGCGGGCGATGTTCCAGGAGGACGGCGCAGGGACCTCGCGTCTAGAGCGTCGGCATTTCCAAGACGAGCGGAACAACGGGCGGAGGAAGGAGGACAGCAGGAAGAGGAGGAGGAAGAGGAGGAGGAGGAGGAGGAGGAGGAGGAGGAAGAGGAAGAGGAGCAAGACAGAGGAGTTAGGGTAGAGGAGGAAGAAGAAAGAGGAGAAGAAGCACAACGACAAGAAGAACAAGAAGATGAAGAAGAAGAAGAAGATCTGCGCGATGTAGTACGAGTGAGAAAAGGAGGAGGAGGAGGAGGAGGAGGAGGAGGAGGAGGAGGAGGAGAGAGAGGGGAGAAAGTGGCCATTGCAAGAATGAAGCAGCAGAAGGATCTCGCCTCGTGGTATCGAGCAGAATGTGTGAGCTGCTGTCGAGAGTTGCTCGGTATGCAGCGCAAATGGGAACAAGAACTAAGATCTCCAATAGCTGGATATGAAGATAGAGAGGTGTTCTTCAACCTACAACGACCTCCTGCTCCTCCTGCTCCTCCTCCTCCTCCTCCTCCTCCCGCCGCTCCTTTACCTCTTCCTCCTCTCTCCTCTTCAATGGCGAATAGAATGCAGCAGCAAGTGAGTAGCGCAGTTCCTCTTGGTGGTTCGACAAGACGGCATCAATCAACGCCATCGCCTAAGACAGTTCTCGATTATAACGCGGGGCGAGGAGGGGGAGGAGGAGCGCGTGTAGGAGGAGTGCGGGCGGGAGGAGGCGGCGGCGGCGGCGCCGGAGGAGGAGGAGGAGGCAATCAAGCAGATACAGCAGCAGCGCCAACTGGGCCCCTGCCACACGTCGATCCCCCACGTGTCAGACATAGTAATTTGCAGTCCCACAGCTCCAGAGTACATGCTCCGCTGTCGTCAGCAAGCCACGTGGCGCCTCCTCCTTTACGGTGCGATCTCCAATCCATATCCTATCCATTTCCAATCCATATCCATAATCCTTAATCCATCATCCTTAATCCATCATCCTTAATCCATCATCCATAATTCATCATCCATAACCATAATTTTTTATCCTTAATCCATACCCATATCCTATATACATGTGTGACTCCTTTTGCCCTAGGGTTGCAGAATCCAAAGAAATAATGCACTAGCAAAAAGAGCGATAATGCCCAAACGAGACCGCTGCCCTGACTGTTTGCAAGCGTCAGAAAAAAAAAAAGGTACCTAGATCCTGTATCTGCTTGCCTGTAGTGACAAAAGAGCGATAATCTAAAAAAAGAAAAAAAGACAAAAAGAAAAAAAGAAGAGCGATCATCCATATCCAATCCATAATCCATATCCATAATCCTTTATACATAATCCTTTATAGATAATCATTTCTCCATAATGTAGAATTCATAATCCATAGATTACGCAGCTGCGTGCCCACCTCAATTAGCGCACTATTCTTTCGCCTTTTACTAAAGAAAAAAAAGGAAAAAAAAAAAATCCATAGATGTGGTACCTTTTTTGCTGAGGGTTGTGGACAGTTAGGGCAGCGGTCTGGTGTTAACCATTACCGGCTGATTTTGCTCCTAGACCCTACCCCGTCTTCACTCGAAGAACGGCCGGTCATTATCGCTGTATTTGGGGCAATTTTCAGTCCAGATGCCAAGCGATAACGACCCGGCGTTCTATTCGGGCGAAGACGGTAGCTGTTATTAGTCCCGATGACTGCACGTAAGCATCCCAGTGTTTGTTTTCTGGAGGGATTCCCAGCGATAATGGCCGGGGGCGTTCTATTCGGGCGATGACAGGGCTTAGGGATAATGACCGGCCGTTCTATTCGGGGTGAAGACCTGGCGTAGCGATAATGATCGGGCGTTCTATTCGGGTGCAGACCGGGGGCGTCCTATTCGGGTGAAGACTGGGCGTTCTATTCGGGGTGAAGACCGGGCGTAGCGATACTGACCGGGCGTTGTATTCGGGGTGACCGGGCGTAGCGATAATGACCGGGCGTTCTATTCGGGGTGAAGACCGGGGGCGTTCTATTCGGGTGAAGACCGGGGGCGTTCTATTCGGGGTGAAGACCGGGCGTAGCGATAATGACCGGGCGTTCTATTCGGGTGAAGACCGGGGACGCTCTATTCGGGTGCAGACCGGGGGCGTTCTATTCGGGTGAAGACCGGGCGTAGCGATAATGACCGGGCGATATTCGGGGTGAAGACCGGGGGTAGCGATAATGACCGGGGGCGTTCTATTCGGGGTAAAGACCAGGCGTAGCGATAATGACCGGGCGTTCTATTCGGGGTGAAGACCGGGGGTAGCGATAATGACCGGGGGCGTTCTATTCGGGTGCAGACCGGGGGCGTTCTATTCGGGGTGAAGACCGGGGGCGTTCTATTCGGGTGAAGACGGTAGATTGTTTCTGGAGGGATTCTCGGCCTCCTGTTCTTGGTAATAAGATGAGCAAAGTCTTTTTGTTAAAAAAATAGAATTAAATTGATACCCATATCCATATCCTATCCATAATCCATATCCATCTCCGTAATCAGTATCCATAATCAATAATCCATGTGCAATGCATATCCAATGTGGCTAATCTGTACAATCATTCAATCCATCGACTGTCATCCGATCAATCCGTCGAATACACATTGAAGCAAAACTAAAATCGATCCAATCAATCAATCAATCAATCCCCTGATTACCCATCAACTAATCAGCTCAATCCATCGGCTCCATTTCATGTTATCTCATTTACCAATATGCGTAACCGAACTGGCTAGTCTCATCAATTCATGCTATCTGATGTGCACCCAGTACATGCATTCCACCCAATCAAATTCGTTTTTGCAATCAATCAATCAATCAATCAATCAATCGATCAATCAATCAATCGATCAATCAAATCGATCAATCGATCAATCAATCAAATCGATCAATTGATCGATCGCTCGATTCAGTAGATGTATTCGACCCAGTCAAATTCCATTTTGCATGTCACCATTGCAATCAGTGCAATCGGTCAGTGAACTGATCAATTAAGTCCATTCAAGTAATTGAGAAAATGCGATGGATGCAATGTAATGATGTTTATCTATCAATCAATCAATCAATCAATCAATTAATCAATCAATCAATTAATCAATCAATCAATCAATCAATCAATCGATTGAACCGATCAGCGTATTCAAACGCTTTTTCGGCATCCACGACCAATTAGGCCAATTGATCGATCGCTCGATTCAGTGAATCCACTTATTCAAACAGTTTTTACAACCATCTGATCATCAGTGCCAATTATTAATTAATCTGATTCATTCTGATCCTAGACAATGTAATCAATGTCCAAGTATATACAATCCAATCAACCACTCGAACAAAGAGTCAGTGCGTATCAACCAACACCA